TCATTAGGGCTTGTAAGCGAGGGGCGGAGGGAGAGCGCGCGGCGACCGCCCCGGTGGCAGAGAGGAGGGGCTTCTTAGCCTGGGGAGGTGGGGCTGGGGTGGGGGGTCGCTTCTCTTGTTTTCTGGGCTTTCTCAAGCTCATCGCCTTAACCCCTTCCTTTCTCGTTGCCCCGCGGTGTCTTTCGGTCAGCTCCGACCCTTAGGAGAGAGAAAGAGGTGGCCTACCCTCAAAGTCCCGCTCACCTCCAGGACGGCCACGCCCCGGCACAGGAGACGAATTTCAGTCCCAACTCTGGGAACGATAGTAGCCAGGTACTGGACGCTTGCTTATACCAGGCATCGTCGATGCATTATCTCATTTAATCCTCGGAAACAGCCGCGTGAATTACAAATTGTTACCACCTTTCAACCAATGAAGCAACTGAGCATCGGAGAGGTTTGGGGAGCAGGCCAAAGCCAAGTCCAGTGTAGTCTAACTCCAAAGCCATTCCTAAGCCCTTGCCGAGTCTCGGGTTCTCGCGTTTATCATCTGTGTGATGAACCTAGTGCTTAAGTTCTAGCCCTAATAGTAAGGTTCTTCTAACCAGTTTCCCCAGAATTCCCAAGTTCTTCTACCCTTTGCTTGTTAAAAGTAAGATTTTGCTTCTAGGAAGTTGAGCCCAGCACTTTACCCATCTTTTATTAGTACATAATCTGTAAGAGGCAAGGGAGAAAGTAGTCTAAGTAGCTGTTACTTGAGAAATCTCCACACACACACACCCATAAAATTCTCAACATGGGACCAGCCAGCAAAAAAAGTGGTTAAGAGAGCGGGATCTCACAGGCCCTGCCAGGGTTGTAAGCCTGGCTCTGTGGCTTAAAAAACTCCCTGGGCCATTTTCATGCATGCCCAAAAATCTCAACAGAATGGAGAAATGGAGATTTCAGCTTGACCACATCCCATCGGGTGGGATGTTTTTTCTTGCCCTCTCTCTCTGCCTTTCTCTGGGGAATGAATGAATATATGTGTGCTCTGGCAATGAAAAGAACAAAAGAAAAACAAAACTCAGTATGGCAGGGCAAAAGATGGCTTGAAATCTCTCTTCCACAGGTCTGATCACCTTGCATTTTACAGGCCCTATTTTCTCTGGACCAGCCTCCAGAAATAAAGACAATTAAGAATATGGCAGAGCATGGAAGGGATTCAGAAAACACTTTGGACCAACTAGCCAAGCTTTCCCTGCCTAGCTTACGCTTCTTAAATGAAGGCTAGGTTTCCAACTCCCAGGGCATTGTGATATTTGAAGAGTACACCTTGTGAAAATCCTTATTGGTTGACTATTTCAAAGCCTGGATTAATAGTCCTCCTTAATTCTCTGAAACACCAAAAGTCATACGCTGACTATATATATTCCCCATATGTCCTCTCTATCACAGGGCGTTCGTGAAGACTGAGATCACATGCATGAAAACACTGTGTGTGGGATAAAGTGCTCTGTATGTAAGTTATTGTAGTTTTGTTCAGAGCCAGCACAGAGGAAACTATAGACCATCTTTCTTTTTTTTTTCTTCTTTATGTATTTATCTCTCTTGAAAGAGAGAAAGAGAGAGGAAAAAAAGACAGCACCTCCAACAGGGTCTCGATGCTGTCAGCCCTGGATCATGGGCACGTGAGTACCCAGCATTATCAGGGATGTATTGAACATGAACCCAGAACCTAGAACTTTCCCATGTGGGCCACCCTTATGGAGCATTCCATTTTACTACCTCACCACTGTCTAGCTCCTAGACCATCTTTGTCAAAACTCTTTTGGGGCCAGCAGGTGGTGTGGTGGTTAAGGTGTTGGATTCCCACTTGGCCAATGGTGGTTCAAAGCTTAAAAATCACAACAAATAACTAAATAGTTTTAAAACAAACAAACAGTCTTTCTTACCCTTCATTTTTTTTTTTTAGTTGGTTCTGTTATCATGTACCTTTCATTTGAGTCACACAGGATCATGTCATCCATGGCTGACTATTTTCTTTTTGATGGCATTTATGTATAGAAAGTTGTGTGAATCTGCCACTGATCTGTCATCTTCACGCCCCAAGAGGTGGATGTCGGCATTTCCCTTCTCCTTTGAGTCGGGGTCATTCCAGAGGCCTCTGGGTCTGGCAGCCAGGATCACTAATTCTTTTTTGTTTTTCACCTTTTTTTCCAATGGAGCAGCTCTCACGTCCCCAGATACAATTGCATAGGACTCTATGTTTATTTGATACATGTCATCTGAGAAAATCTCTTAATCCCCAGAGTTATCTAAATCCTAACATAATCTTATTCAAAATAAGTGGTTTATGATGACTCCTGTGTAAAAATCTTTATTTCCAGGAGAGTGGAGTGCTAAGCATCAAAGCTGATTTGAAGTTACATGAGGCCAGATTCAAATTCTGGCTCTGTCTTGTGGTAGGTGAGTCTTTAGACAAATCAGTTTTTCTTCCCAAGGTTCAGAGTCCTCACCTAAAAACATGGAAATGGTCATAACTTTTCTTGGGGGTTTTGTGAGAATTACATGACACGATAGGCAAACAATACCTCTGAGTCATATTTTTCTCGTCTATGCAATGGATCATGTCAATTTCTCGAGGCTGTCATGGGGTGGAATCTATGAGAGCACCTGACACATGATGGTAGCCCAACAAACATCCATGTTCTTGATTCTTTCGGTCTCACCTATTCCTTATCACCCTATAAAATCAGCGTCATCTGTTCTTTCCCCCAACAAAGTGACTATTTTCAAATGCAAGAGAACAGCTATACATGTAGGTATAAACTGAAACGAAGTCTGTGTAGGACAGAAGGTGGAGTGCTGAAAATGGAACCTTTGACTGAAACGAGTCCAACCTTGCTTTTATTTCTTAAAGAAATATAGAAGTCACTTAATCCTCTGGACCTCAATGGTCCCATCTATAAAACAGGGGTAATAATGTGAGACTATTTGATAGAAAATCAAGATAATGGAAATGGAAATTCTTTGTCAACCATCGTGCTCCCTATATAAATCTAAGACAGTCATGGTTTAGAAGTTCTGTGTAACCCGATTCAGAAAATGAATCCTTACACATAAATAGCCATCCAGTCACTTATTCATTCAGCAGAAAGATACTGACCCCCACAATGTGCTCAGCATTGAGCAAGAAGAGAGACACAGAGAAAAGAGACCATAAGATAGACATGCAAACAAACCATAGTAATATAATGTGATACATGTTTCAATGGAAGTCAATTAAAGGTACAGTAGTTGATGGAATAAAAAGACCTTAACTTTGCCCAGAGCAGTCAGGACGTTTGCATAACCAGGTAGTCTTTCAGCTAAGACTTAAATGATGCATTTGACTATGTTAAGCAAACAAGCACTATCTCAGGCTAGAGAAGGGTCTGGGCAAAGTCATGGCTAAATGGAAGCAATAGCTTTATGGAAAAATTTAGGTATTAAGACAACAAAAAACAACTTCTGTTTGAAATAATTCAATACCTCAAACCAAAATAAATTCTTAGGGCTTCCGCTGTCCAACTAAATTGTACATATAGACCCTGCCTCATGGTCTCAGTTGCTTTCCCCCTGGTCTTCTTTCCTTTGGGGAAGAACTCCATGTGGGATGAAATTGGTTTCAGCAAAGTCAGTGGCCAGCTCCTGCCAGGCCCCTTGGACCCTCCTCCCACACCCTGACAGAGCATATTCACTTGAGTGGCTTTGACATCAATACATTTCACTTCCTGTGGAGCGGAGGGACCGAGCTCCAGCCTGCACGAGGGGCTGTCTGTGAACTCCAAACTAGAGCTCTTTTGCACCAGTGATGCCTAATGCTGAGCAAGTGGGATTAGTTTCCTTGGGAACCAAGCCCCCCCAGGGGCTCAAGGGCTGAACTCGCCCCAAACTGTTTGGGAGAATTGAGATTTCATATTGTTCTTTTACACTTGGATTTCAGGACATTACTTAGACAAAAGCCCACCTGAGAGCTGCCTCCTTTCTTGTGGGTAAATATAGCAGCAGGATCAAAAGCTGACTTACTTATTTTGTTTTCCTCTTTGTAACTTTAATCATATTCTCGGCAGGACAATCTTAGTCTTCAGAGATCTCAGGAATGTACATTCATAATGAAAGAAATAATTATGCATCTTTTTTTTCTCTCTCTTTTCCTGAACTGATTTCCTATCATTCACTGTTTTTGAAATCTCAAAGCAAATTAATTCCTCAGTTTTAACATACAATTTATAAAGTATCATTATCATAAAAACAAATT